GTCTGTCCATCACACTTTCAATGTCTGTCCATCACACTTTCAATGTCGTGTCCCTCTCTTGTAGGTAATTGCGCCCACTTCCATAAGGGCGGCTGGTGGTACAATGCGTGTGGCCAGACCAACCTGAACGGCGTGTGGTACAGCGGGGGAGTTTACCGCAGCAAATTCCAGGATGGAATCTTCTGGGCGGAGTACGGAGGAGGTTTCTACTCCCTCAAGTCAGCCCGCCTCATGATCCGACCGATCGACTGAAACCTCAGACTGCGGCTCCCATCAGATGCACCTCAAGTTTCCTTCCTTATCTTTATCTACCCATAAAACAAAGACTGTAAAAGGCAGAACCAGGACTTCCCCCGCCATCGTACAACAGTGCCTTGTAAAAAATACGAGAGGAGGAAGAGGGGGTGGCAGGTGATCATGGCCAGACAATAAGGACTCCAGCAGTCTGCGTGGCTCGCTCCCAGGTTGACTTTGAGAGGAAGACCGATGCCATCGCCCTCCTTAAGCGAGAGCTCTCCTCTACCGGTCAGTCTGGAAAGTAACGGTCCAACAAGCTCCCTGGGACCATCAAGTATTACTCGCACGTGTCCTATTTTACTCACTCTTGTATGTAATAAAAAGGGAAATGGTCATTTACTAAAGACACGAGATTTCTTCAGAGCAGCTAACGGTGACTTTTTGAAAGTAGTGTCGCCCATAACCAAAGAGTATTTGATGGATGTACTGGGATGTTTAACCATAGCATGGAAAATGTAAAGTTGTGTTGCCGGTTAGAGTCCCCGACAGTCAAGCGGTTAGAGGGCCGGACTTGCCAAACCTACCGCCTTACTCGTTTCTGGGTTTTGTCAGGACTTTTGGGAGCTTTCCTTGGACCCTTGCAGAAAATGAACTCGTGCAACATCGTGCTTGTCGAATGTGCATATGGCTGAGCTGGCTTTGGTATGTAAATATCGTTGGCTTTGTTTGTAAAAGGTAATTTAAGAGGTGTGATTCTACTCAGGCCAAACGTTCACAATGTTGTCACTTTGCCATTCTTTGTTATTTATCAGTGTATTTATAGTAAATATAGTCATGGCCATTTTATATCGAGCCCTGTAACAATACAATTCTTAATGTGTTTTTTCGTTTTCCCCCCATGTAGAGATACACTAACGACACTTGAAGAAAGGCACACGCACACACACACTGACATAAACGAATCCAGACTGGATGTTGAGAATATGAGACGCACACTGCCAATTTTCATCAAATTAAATTCTTTTGTAAACATTGAATGGTCTCTCACTCGTCACTCAGCTTCATGGAAAGAACAAAATGAAAGTTTCAAAATGATTTCCAGCGTGAATGAAAAACTTGCCATATGTAAAACATGAGCGAAAAAGGAAGCAGAGGCCGGATAGAAATGTCAAAGTCAGCTGTGCAGAAGCAGGTTGGACTATATCAAGGTAAGGACAGAAATAGATAACTGATGCTGCTATAAAAACATTTTGATAAACACTTAAGAAGCGGAGAGACCGTGAGATTGATGACAGGGCAAGAGAAAAACAGACGGGGAAGAGGAGGAGGGGAACATTCCTTCCACATTAAAACCCTGTGGACCTTTCCCTCCGAGGACCCGTAAGTCAGGACAGCTAGGAGCCGCCTGACACAAACACGGCAGCTGGAGAAGCTCGCGGACACGATCAACATATTTTAACTCAAACACACACACACACAGTCAGTGAGCAGACAAAAGCTGCAGGTAGGCTTTACTGTGAGCCATCAAAAATACTGTCTACCAATGCGGTCCAAGAGTCCAGGCCAGACTAGGTTCTGCCTGGCTGTACCACCTCCTGACTGCACGTCATGGGGACCAGCAGGGAAAAGAACCCCTCAGTTGGCTGGTTTTTCTGATCCGACACCTCAACCCTGGTGCTTTTCCACTACATTTGATTATTCCACAGTGTTGCTCCACCAACAACTACAGCAACAGCATGCTGGAGCAGAAGGGCGCCAAGGGCCCCCATGCTGCTTTCTGGCCCTCCGAGTCTTTCTCCATTGAAGGAGACCAAGTAACAAACGGCTCCTACAGGATCCCAGCACGGAGTATAATGACTTTACACGGGTACCATGGTCACGAGTCCTCACTCAACAGAAGTGTAATGGTAAAACAATTACAATGACTATCAATTACTCACCCTGCGATACCTTTAAGTCTTGAAGACAACTTTGTTTTTCTCTCATGCCTCCTCGGTGAATGGAGAATCGAAAAAACTGAGGAAAGTCTTGATGAATTGAAGTAAACGTTTGCCAACTGTCACACAACTCATTCAGATTAATCCCAGTCTCATTTATCCGGTCGTGTTCTCAGTACTTTTAAAAACGCATGCACCTTCTTACGATTTAAAAACACCGTAACGCGTAAACAGTCTCGCTCTAATGCAGCCGCGCTGCTCGTCTGTGCGATTCTGAACGAGTCCCGAGTGTTTTAAATAGGAAGGTTTCAGCAAAGTTGCATGCGTTTGTGAAGTAGAGAGCAAACAACTAGATATACGAGACCTGGATCATACTGCATAAGGTGTGTCAGAGTTTGTGAAGTCGTGTTTTGATATCGTTCTGTTGTTAAATGTGTCCCTCATTTACTTCAATTCATCATCATTGTATCCGTGTTTTGATTCTCCGTTCACCATGGAGGGAAGCTAACACTGGGTGAGCAATTGAGATACAAATGGTCATTTTGTGGGCCAAGTGTTTCTTTAAATCAGTGTTTTACGTGGCAGCCGGTGTAGACGCGAAGGTGAAAGCACAACGGGTCGGGGGAAACATTTTTCAAAGCGTGTGTGTTTTATCACAGTGGAGCCATACATCTCTGTGGGCTCTTTGTCCTTGCATGATTGGAAGGAGAACAGGAACAAGCTCATCTGAGCATTTAACAAGCTGGCCCTGTGGTGAGCGCAGACAGGAGGAGGCTGTGTCCGCCAAGCCTAATAGCAGGTCAGAGTTCACACAGGCGCACACAGGCGCACACACGAAAAACCGAAGCTCGGCGACTGCAGAGCAGACACAGCGCTCTTTATCACCAGAGATAAGCATCACACCTGCAAAGATGCAAATGGAGCGAAGACAGAAACACGATAGGAAGTCACAAAAGTGGCACAAATACACAAACACACTTGTTACAAGTTAACTCTCCTGTGGTTATTTAGCACATGTGGTCATCTAAGCCCCTCAGCTGTGGGTTGGGACTTTAGCTTGAGCTTCAAAAAGGTACTTTGTTTTAGTGAGCAGAGATGTAATCACGTGCACCCACACATCAGGAGAAACCCCCCGACCCGAGTTTAACCATTACACGCCCAGCACTTATGTTGGGAGGGATGCTCTGGAACAAGCACTGCGGTTTTGGGGGGGGGGGGGGGGGGGGGGGGGAGGCGATTCCCTCTCCTGCGTGCCAACTTGGCTCGGTCCAGCCCCGAGGGCGGCCAGCTGGTGACGCATCACACGGCCACACGCATCACTGACGGGCTCAGACTGAGGAAACACCGACCTACTCACACGCATCGCACGAAGGAGGCTCCACCCTGAGAACGACCAAGTAGTCAAGCATCACTGAAACACTTAGCGAACGGAAAGTCTTCCCTTCAAACACACACGCACGCACACGCACACACACACACACACACACAATTGAACTGGCAAATGTGTGCTGTTTCACAGCATTAAGCTTCGCATTTGACTTCCCGCTCCGTCATTGCTTCCAGACATCCGTGACATTTGTGCTTGTTTGCACGTACTTGAGCGGCTTAGTTTGAATCACACGGCAGTAGCTATGATACGAGCCCGACGGTAAGAGAAACAGCCGTGGCAGCAGAGCACATCAAAGTCATCATCAAGTCAAAACAGGAACAAACAGTACAGCAATAAACCCCTCCCCACCCACCCACACACACACACACACACACACACACACACAGTGTATTCATTGGAAAAATCATCAGGAATTCCTGTGTGATGTTATTTGTGTAACCAAAGCAAGGAGGGGGTAGAAATATTTAAAAGGGTAGTTTGCATCTTTTGAAGTGGGGTTGTATGTACTTATCCATGAAGGCCAGAGAGCGAAATTAACTCACAGACCGCAGTGGAAACAAGATGCTTATTGAAAGAGGTACTGAGGACAGAGCACAGACAACAAATGGTGACTGACTGATGACTGTGGCTCTGAATAATCCGTGAGATAAAAGGTACCAGACACACATTCAGAGACAGCTCATTCAGTAAAACCCAGAGGATTTGTCCTCAGATTAGCCGCCGGCCCGTAAACAGCCCGTAAAGATAAGACGCTGAGAGCACGGCATCGTATTGCATCCTTCAAAGATCACGCTGTGTATGTTTGTGTCGGTTACCTAGGTACGGTATACAAGAGACCATGCTCTGGCTGCTTATGAAGTCTCTCAGACGCTTGTAGTTGTCTTCTTTGGACATCAGGTAGTCGAGCCGATCGAACGTCGCCTTGTCCTTCCGACTCAGTAACTGTGAGGCAGAGATGGAGAGGCAAAAAGGGAGCGTGAGAATAAAAGCAACACGTACGGCCGAGGGGGAAATGCATCATCATTGAAGACACTTCATTCAGTTGCACTTACTAATAAGTGGAATCTGATACACATCAAAGGGCTGTAACAACAGTTAACAGGAAGAAGAGCGAAGACCTTCTAGTGACAAACAATACATTTTGTGATTGAAGTGTTTGTCACGGTCATAATAAAATGCAGTTGTGTTGTGCAGAACAAAACCATGACTGCTTTTAATGACTTGGCCACAAATCCAGAAGCAGCTGTCCATGATGTCTGTTTGTCTGTTTGTCCAGCTACAGATGTGAAGCGTACTCCTGCAACAGGGCTGCACTGCAGAGTAGTTAGCTTGTGTGGTAAAGCATCAGACCACAGTACGTTTGATCTGCCGACAATGGATACTTCATAGGTTGCGACAATAGCAGAAAGTACCAATGATACCCGCGCGTGTGTGTGTGTGTGTGTGTGTGTGTGTGTGTGTGTGTGTGTGTGCCCGTCTGTCCTCTCAGAAGCAGGTGAGCTGTGTCCTGGCCAGCAACAGAATTTGCTGACTGGCTAAAAGAATCTCATGTGGTTTTTTCTTTTGTGGAGCCGGGTATGAGAAATTTCCACCATTACATCAGAGCATCATCATGCCATTATGTAAGCGCTACGTCTTCCATGAGAACACTGCAGCAGAGCGGTAATCCCTCACACGGCTTTAAAATGGATACTGACGTATAATATTCCGCAAAAAAAAAAAAAAAAAAAAAAAAAAAAGGTCTACAAATGATGACGTGTTCAAAATAAGCTCTATTCTGTATGAAGGGGTCACTAAGAGATGGACTGAATGCACTAACAAATGACAGAATAAGACTCTCTGAAAACCTCAACCATTCCTTTATCTCAGGACAAAGAATGACTTTAAGGTTTTCTGAGGGTTCTAAACCAGTGTCTCACAAGACCCACTCTGTGAAAATGACAAACCATTGGGTCCCAATTCACAATAGTCCTCATCTAGAAATTGGTGCTTCTGGCCATCAGCCCGGTGTTTGGCTCATTTTCTGTAACCAGTGTAGCATTAAAGCACGGTGGAATTAGCAAGCTAGCTAATTAGCCAGCTCTCCATTAGTTAGCCACTAAACAATCCAATAAACGCAAATTTTGCGATGTGCTTTGATTCTTACTGAAATGAAGCCATAGTTGTCACTCATCTGTATGAAAGATGCATTAGGTTCAATTTGACACATTTACTCTCTGTGCTTCGGAACTCTTCTACTCCACTGCTCGTTTTAGTTCTTACTGCAAAAACTCAGTTTAGTTTATATGGAAGTTAGCCTGCTACAACAGTAGCAATGGCAGCTGTACACAAAAAAATGGCCGCCGCTCTGACCGTCCTGCTACGTTAATTTGAATGTGGGTGCTCCTTCTACTTCTATTCTACTTCTATGTTAAATACTCTATAAATGAGGTCAAATAAATGTTTTCACTTAACAGGTTCTTGTTTTTTATTTCTCTCATCAGAACATTCAGGCTTCCTCATATGTGTACTGCAGATAATCATTTTAAATAAAAGTCTATGGAAGAAACTGTCCTGCGACCCAGCGGTGGATCCCGACCCAGTCTTCGGGAATAACGGCTCTGAACAGTCCTCTTGGTTTATTTATTTTCCCTGAACTCATCGTGTCGAGCCACTTTGTGTGCTAGTTTTTTTAAATCAGCCTTTGTTTATGTGTCCAGTGTTTTGGTACAGATCTGCGTGACATCCCGGTTTATCGACAGCACTCTTACAAACAAACCACACTTGCCTTCAAAGTATTGTAAATATACTCACCGCCCACGTTTTGGTGAGCCTGAAGATGGGGGCGCTTTGTAATGCCGACACCACAGCCATGACCGCGTGGAGGTTGTTCATGTCACACAGTTTCTGCGAAGAATTCAAAGTACAAAGAGCATGCATTAGGTCGGGTTTACAACGCAAACATTCACAAGGATAGAACAACAGTGTCGTGTCAAGCGTGGGTGTGTGTGTGTGTGTGTACCTTGGCAGTGCGAATGTACAGACTCAGCACCTCAGCTCTGATCTTCAACGTCTGCGCATGAAGGATCTCTCGTACCACCCAGAAACTCGTCTAGAAAAGAGAAAACAAGAGATTACGACACTGATCAACTCTCAACCTCCCCAAACTCGCCAAAAACAGAGCCGGGGAGGACAAACCTGACGACACAGAAAACATTATCTCTCATGTGTTACACTCAATGAGGATTTCAGAGCCAAGGCCCGCAGACATGAGAACTCTGGGACCAAACCAGTACAAAGCGGCGCAGGAGAGCGCGGGGTCAGAGTGCTAACGGGGAAACGCTCCATTAGAGTCGATTAGGAACTAGCTCGAGGAAAAAACAAGAGCTTCGGAGGAAAATCCAATCGATTCCAACTAATTACACAACAGATATACACAATAACTCCTAATATGTCAACTGAAAAAAGGAGGAGTGTGTTCAGAGTACTCGGCCAGACCGAGAGTGATGTCTGAAATCTCGTCTCTTCGGGGAGAATGCTGGTAAGCCAAAGTTCTGATTACACACACACACACACACACACACACACACACACACTCTAGCAGAGAGACGAGTCAGGGAATCAATCAGAGTTAATGCTCTGGGGAGAGGGGGAATGGAAAGAGGAACAGGAGAAGAGGGAAGAGAGGTAACGGAGGGGAAGCCAGCTCCAGCGTGCCGCAGGGCTCTCAAAGCCCACAGATGTCTGCACATTGTGTCCTGATAAGACCGTCCCAGGCGGACTGACCATCTCCACATAAGTTACTCCCTCGCTCTGCTCCACGCCCGTCGGACTTTAATCTGTGCTTGATTAATTACAGTAACAGTAAATAGAGCCATATGGGTTTCATTTTCACCATTTGATGAAGAGGTCAATAAACAAGACGAGGGAGTGATGGAAATGGAGAGGAGATACATGGACGGGGTGGAGCCTGACTTCCATTGGCTTCTACTTTAACTTTTATTTGCATCTCTTGCGTTGAGACGAGACGGGGGCGTCATGTGAAGAAGCAGGAAACAAAAAAAATAAATCAATAAAAAATGCAAATGCTGTCACATCTTCCCTCCAGCGTCAGTTTACTGTAGACCGGAGTTTCCATCGACTGTAAAATGTGATTCCAATCTGCAAAACATGCGGCGGCTTCACATTTAGCTTCCTCTGCGGTCTAACTTGATATGTGAGGTCAATCTGGACGAAGAGCCTCCGTCCAAATCGCTGTACCACCAGGGCTCGTTACAGGATCCTGGGTCCTCGTCGGCCTTGGCCTCCCAAACTGCACAGCGATGACCTCATTTAGGATGGCAGCGCTCTACACGGGTGCATTCACAAGTGTGTACTGTATGTGCGACTGAGCGAGAGGGTTTCGGGGAATCGGGGGTCGTCTTTGTCTTTAAAAGATCTGATTTTGTGCCCCGAAGCAAAGATGGTGTCTTTTGGGGGCCGCGTTCATGAGCGTATGAAGGCCTCCAGATGGAGCAGGGAGTTCCCAGCGCTTCGATAATCATAAATAAGCGGAAGCAAATCCATCCAGACTCAAAGCTCATAGCCGTGGGTCAAACCATTTAATGGGCTGAAGGGGGGGGGGGGGGGGGGGGG